TCCTAAAGTAGAAATAGTCTTCCTAGTGTTCCTAAAGTAGAAATAGTCTTCCTAGTGTTCCTGAAGTAACAAAGTCTCCTAGTGTTCCTAAGTAAAATAGTCTTCCTAGTGTTCCTAAAGTAGAAATAGTCTTCCTAGTGTTCCTGAAGTAGAAATAGTCTTCCTAGTGTTCCTAAAGTAGAAATAGTCTTCCTAGTGTTCCTAAAGTAGAAAAGTCTTCCTAGTGTTCCTGAAGTAGACAATAGTCTTCCTAGTGTTCCTAAAGTAGAAATAGTCTTCCTATGTTTCCTGAAGTAGAAATAGTCTTCCTTAGTGTTCCTAAGTAGCAATAGTCTTCCTAGTGTTCCTAAGTAGAAATAGTCTTCCTAGTGTTCACTGAAGTAGAAATAGTCTTCCTAGTGTTCCTAAAGTAAATAGTCTTCCTAGTGTTCTGAAGTAGACAATAGTCTTCCTAGTGTTCCTGAAGTAACAATAGTCTTCCTAGTGTTCCTAAAGTAAAAAGTCTTCCTAGTGTTCCTGAAGTGAAATAGTCTTCCTAGTGTTCCTGAAGTAACAATAGTCTTCCTAGTGTTCCTGAAGTAACAACAGTCTTCCTAGTGTTCCTAAAGTAGAAATAGTCTTCCTAGTGTTCCTAAAGTAGAAATAGTCTTCCTAGTGTTCCTGAAGTAACAAAGTCTTCCTAGTGTTCCTAAAGTAGAAAGTCTTCCTAGTGTTCCTAAGTAGAACAGTCTTCCTATGTTCCTGAAGTAGAAATAGTCTTCCTAGTGTTCCTAAGTAGAATAGTCTCCTAGTTTTCCTAAGTAGAATATTTCCAGTGTCCTAAAGTAGAAATAGTCTTCCTAGTGTTCCTAAAGTAGAAATAGTCTTCCTAGTGTTCCTAAAGTAGCAATAGCCTTCCTAGTGTTCCTAAAGTAGAAATAGTCTTCCTAGTGTTCCTAAAGTAGAAATAGTCTTCCTAGTGTTCCTGAAGTAGAAATAGTCTTCCTAGTGTTCCTAAAGTAACAATAGTCTTCATAGTGTTCCTGAAGTAACAACAGTCTTCCTAGTGTTCCTGAAAGTAACAAAGTCTTCCTAGTGTTCCTAAGTAAAATAGTCTCCTAGTGTTCCTGAAGTACAATCAGTCTTCCTAGTGTTCCTGAAGTAGAAATAGTCTTCCTAGTGTTCCTAAAGTAGAAATAGTCTTCCTAGTGTTCCTGAAGTAGAAATAGTCTTCCTAGTGTTCCTAAAGTAGAATAGTCTTCCTAGTGTTCCTAAAGTAGAATAGTCTTCTAGTGTTCTGAAGTAACAACAGTCTTCCTAGTGTTCCTAAAGTAGAAATAGTCTTCCTAGTGTTCCTAAAGTAGAAATAGTCTTCCTAGTGTTCCTAAAGTAGAAATAGTCTTCCTAGTGTTCCTAAAGTAGCAATAGTCTTCCTAGTGTTCCTAAAGTAGAAATAGTCTTCCTAGTGTTCCTGAAGTAACAACAGTCTTCCGAGTGTTCTTGAAGTAACAACAGTCTTCCTTGTTCCTAAAGTGATATTTCCTATGTTCTGAAGTAACAACAGTCTTCCTAGTGTTACTGAAGTAACAACAGTCTTCCTAGTGTTACTGAAGTAACAACAGTCTTCCTAGTGTTACTGAAGTAACAACAGTCTTCCTAGTGTTACTCAAAGTAAAATAGTCTTCCTAGTGTTCTGAAGTAACAACTAGTCTCCTAGTGTTACTGAAGTAACAAAGTCTTCCTAGTGTTCTGAAGTAACAACAGTCTTCCTAGTGTTACTGAAAGTAACAACAGTCTTCCTAGTTTACTGAAGTAACAAAGTCTTCCTAGTGTTACTGAAGTAACAACTAGTCTTCCTATGTTACTGAAGTAACAACAGTCTTCCTAGTGTTACTGAAGTAACAATAGTCTTCTAGTGTTCCTGAAAGTAACAACAGTCTTCCTAGTGTTCTGAAGTAACAACAGTCTTCCTAGTGTTACTGAAGTAACAATAGTCTTCCTAGTGTCGAGTACACAGTTCGTGTTACTGAAGTAAAAAGTCTTCCTAGTGTTACTGAAGTAACAACAGTCTTCCTAGTGTTCCTGAAGTAGAAATAGTCTTCCTAGTGTTCCTAAAGTAGAAATAGTCTTCCTAGTGTTCCTGAAGTAGAAATAGTCTTCCTAGTGTTCCTAAAGTAGCAATAGTCTTCCTAGTGTTCCTGAAGTAGAAATAGTCTTCCTAGTGTCTAAAGTAGCAAATAGTCTTCCTAGTGTTCCTGAAGTAACAGTCTTCCTAGTGTTCCTGAAGTAACAACAGTCTTCCTAGTGTTACTGAAGTAACAATAGTCTTCCTAGTGTTCCTGAAGTAACAATAGTCTTCCTAGTGTTCCTGAAGTACAAATGTCTTCCTAGTGTTCCTGAAGTAACAATAGTCTTCCTATGTTCTGAAGTAGAAAGTTTCCTAGTTTCCTGAAGTAACATGTTTCCTAGTGTCAGAAGTAACATAGTCTTCCTAGTGTTTCCAGAAGTAACAATAGTCTTCCTAGTGTTCCTGAAGTAACAACAGTCTTCCTAGTGTTCCTAAAGTAGCAATAGTCTTCCTAGTGTTCCTGAAGTAACAACAGTCTTCCTAGTGTTCCTAAAGTAGCAATAGTCTTCCTAGTGTTCCTGAAGTAACAACAGTCTTCCTAGTGTTCCTAAAGTAGCAATAGTCTTCCTAGTGTTCCTGAAGTAACAGTCTTCCTAGTGTTCCTGAAGTAACAGTCTTCCTAGTGTTCCTGAAGTAACAACAGTCTTCCTAGTGTTCCTGAAGTAACAGCCTTCCTAGTGTTCCTGAAGTAACAACAGTCTTCCTAGTGTTCCTAAAGTAGCAACAGTCTTCCTAGTGTTCCTAAAGTAACAATAGTCTTCCTAGTGTTCCTGAAGTAACAACAGTCTTCCTAGTGTTCCTGAAGTAACAACAGTCTTCCTAGTGTTACTGAAGTAACAATAGTCTTCCTAGTGTTCCTGAAGTAACAATAGTCTTCCTAGTGTTACTGAAGTAACAACAGTCTTCCTAGTGTTACTGAAGTAACAACAGTCTTCCTGAAGTACCAATAGCCTTCCTAGTGTTCCTGAAGTAACAACAGTCTTCTTAGTGTTACTGAAGTAACAACAGTCTTCTTAGTGTTACTGAAGTATCAGTCTTCCTAGTGTTCCTGAAGTAACAACAGTCTTCCTAGTGTTACTGAAGTAACAATAGTCTTCCTAGTGTTACTGAAGTAACAACAGTCTTCCTAGTGTTACTGAAGTAACAATAGTCTTCCTAGTGTTCCTGAAGTAACAATAGTCTTCCTAGTGTTCCTGAAGTAACAATAGTCTTCCTAGTGTTACTGAAGTAACAATAGTCTTCCTAGTGTTACTGAAGTAACAACAGTCTTCCTAGTGTTACTGAAGTATCAGTCTTCCTAGTGTTACTGAAGTAACAATAGTCTTCCTAGTGTTCCTGAAGTAACAAAGTCTTCCTATGTTCCTGAAGTAAACAATAGTCTTCCTAGTGTTACTGAAGTAACAATAGTCTTCCTAGTGTTACTGAAGTAACAACAGTCTTCCTAGTGTTACCTGAAGTAACCAAAGTCTTCTAGTGTTCCTGAAGTAACAACAGTCTTCCTAGTGTATCTGAAGTAACAATAGTCTTCCTATGTTCCATAAAGTAACAATAGTCTTCCTAGTGTTCCTGAAGTACCAATAGTCTTCCTAGTGTTCCTGAAGTACCAATAGTCTTCCTAGTGTTACTGAAGTATCAGTCTTCCTAGTGTTCCTGAAGTAACAATAGTCTTCCTAGTGTTACTGAAGTATCAGTCTTCCTAGTGTTCCTGAAGTAATAATGCTTCCTAGTGTTACTGAAGTACAGTCTTCCTAGTGTTCCTGAAGTAACAATAGTCTTCCTAGTGTTCCTGAAGTAACAACAGTCTTCCTAGTGTTACTGAAGTAACAACAGTCTTCCTAGTGTTACTGAAGTAACAACAGTCTTCCTAGTGTTACTGAAGTAACAATAGTCTTCCTAGTGTTACTGAAGTATCAGTCTTCCTAGTGTTAATGGAGTAACAATAGTCTTCCTAGTGTTCCTTAAGTAACAATAGTCTTCCTAGTGTTCCTGAAGTAACAACAGTCTTCTAGTGTTTCTGAAGTACAGTCTTCCTAGTGTTAATGGAGTACAATAGTCTTCCTAGTGTTCCTTAAGTAACAATAGTCTTCCTAGTGTTCCTGAAGTAACAATAGTCTCCCTAGTGTTACTGAAGTAACAGTCTTCCTAGTGTTCCTTAAGTAACAATAGTCTGCCTAGTGTTCCTTAAGTAACAATAGTCTTCCTAGTGTTCCTGAAGTAACAACAGTCTTCTTAGTGTTACTGAAGTATCAGTCTTCCTAGTGTTCCTGAAGTAACAATAGTCTTCCTAGTGTTACTGAAGTAACAATAGTCTTCCTAGTGTTACTGAAGTAACAACAGTCTTCCTAGTGTTACTGAAGTAACAACAGTCTTCCTAGTGTTACTGAAGTAACAACAGTCTTCCTAGTGTTACTGAAGTAACAATAGTCTTCCTAGTGTTACTGAAGTAACAACAGTCTTCCTAGTGTTACTGAAGTAACAATAGTCTTCCTAGTGTTACTGAAGTAACAACAGTCTTCCTAGTGTTCCTGAAGTAACAGCAGTCTTCCTAGTGTTCCTGAAGTAACAGCAGTCTTCCTAGTTCCTGAAGTACAGCTTTCCTAGTTCCTGAAGTAACAGCAGTCTTCCTAGTGTTCCTGAAGTAACAGCAGTCTTCCTAGTGTTCCTGAAGTAACAGCAGTCTTCCTAGTGTTCCTGAAGTAACAGCAGTCTTCCTAGTGTTCCTGAAGTAACAGCAGTCTTCCTAGTGTTCCTGAAGTAACAGCAGTCTTCCTAGTGTTCCTGAAATAACAATTTACTGAAGGTCCCCACACTTCCCGGCCTCCAGGTGAAAATCTCCTCGATTCTGTTCAGCTGTGATTTTCCCGTGACCTGACAGTAGAGTTTTCCTTCTCACCAAGGCTGGTGTGTAGCCTGGTGTGGAGTCTGGTCTGGAGCCTGGTCTGGAGTCAAGTGTGTAGCCTGGTCTCAAGCTAGATGTGTAAACTTTTGTGGAGCCAGATCTGGAGCTTCGGCTGTAGACCAGTGTGGAGCCAGATCTGGAGCTTCGGCTGTAGACCAGTGTGGAGCCAGATCTGGAGCTTCGACTGTGGACCAGTGTGGAGCCAGATCTGGAGCTTCGACTGTGGACCAGTGTGGAGCCAGATCTGGAGCTTCGACTGTAGACTGGTCTGGAGCCTGGTGTGGAGTCTGGTCTGGAGCCTGGTCTGGAGTCAAGTGTGTAGCCTGGTCTCAAGCTAGATGTGTAAACTTTTGTGGAGCCAGATCTGCAGACTGGTGTGGAGCGTGGTATGGGGCCAGGTCTGTAGAATGCTGTGGAGCCTAGTATGGGGCTAGGTCTGTAGAATGTCGTGGAGCCTGGTATGGGGCCAGGTCTGTAGAATGCTGTGGAGCCTGGTATGGGGCTAGGTCTGTAGACTGGTGTGGAGCCTGGTATGGGGCCAGGTCTGTAGAATGCTGTGGAGTCTGGTATGGGGCTAGGTCTGTAGACTGGTGTGGAGCCTGGTATGGGGCCAGGTCTGTAGAATGCTGTGGAGTCTGGTATGGGGCTAGGTCTGTAGACTGTGTGGAGCCTGGTATGGGGCCAGGTCGTAGAATGCTGTGGATCTGGTATGGGCTAGGTCTGTAGACTGTGTGGAGCCTGGTATGGGGCAGGCTTACTGTGTCGGGTATGGGGCTAGGTCTGTAGACTGGTATGGAGCCTGGTATGGGTATGTGTGTGAGACTGTGGCAGTCAGGTTGGAGTCAGATGTGTAGATTGGTGTGCAGCCAGGTGTGGAGCCAGGTGAGTGGACTGGTGTGCAGCCAGGTGTGGAGCCAGATGTGTGGACTGGTGTGCAGCCAGGTGTGGAGCCAGATTGTGATGTGTGACAGGTGGGGTGGCTTGCAGCCAGGTGTGGAGCCAGATGTGTGGACTGGTGTGCAGCCAGGTGTGGAGCCAGATGTGTGGACGTGGCACTGTGTGTGATGTTGTCAGGTGTGGAGCCAGATGGTTGGACTGGTGTGCAGCCAGGTGTGGAGCAGTGTGTGAGTCAGGTGTGAGCCTGTTTTTCTCTGCTGTAACCAGTGTGGATACAGTTGTGTGTAGTCATTATGTGGACCAGTGTGCATTGTTAGCAGATGCTTGTTTGTTCCATATATAGTAGATAGATTGTGTTATCATTTGATGTAAGTTCACTGATCATGTTTTAAAACTATTGGTGTTTATCTATGTACATTGTGTGTTGCAGTGAGTGTGTGTTCCATGATGTAGTGTTTACGTGTTGTGTTTCTATGTATGTTGGTACAGTGTTGTGTTTCATGATGTAGTGTGGTACGTGTTGTGTTCCATGATATGTAGTGTTGGTACAGTGTTGTGTTCCATGATATGTAGTGTTGGTACAGTGTTGTGTTCCATGATATGTAGTGTTGGTACAGTGTTGTGTTCCATGATATGTAGTGTTGGTACAGTGTTGTGTTTCATATGTAGTGTTGGTACAGTGTTGTGTTTCATATGTAGTGTTGGTACAGTGTTGTGTTTCATATGTAGTGTTGGTACAGTGTTGTGTTCCATGATATGTAGTGTTGGTACAGTGTTGTGTTTCATGATATGTAGTGTTGGTACAGTGTTGTGTTCCATGATATGTAGTGTTGGTACAGTGTTGTGTTCCATGATATGTAGTGTTGGTACAGTGTTGTGTTCCATGATATGTAGTGTTGGTACAGTGTTGTGTTTCATATGTAGTGTTGGTACAGTGTTGTGTTCCATGATATGTAGTGTTGGTACAGTGTTGTGTTCATGATATGTAGTGTTGGTACAGTGTTGTGTTCATGATATGTAGTGTTGGTACAGTGTTGTGTTTATATGTAGTGTTGGTACAGTGTTGTGTTTCATTTTGTAGTGTTGGTACAGTGTTGTGTTCCATGATATGTAGTGTTGGTACAGTGTTGTGTTCATGATTGAGTGTTGGTACAGTGTGTTCATATGTAGTGTTGGTACAGTGTTGTGTTTCATATGTAGTGTTGGTACAGTGTTGTGTTTCATATGTAGTGTTGGTACAGTGTTGTGTTCCATGATATGTAGTGTTGGTACAGTGTTGTGTTTCATATGTAGTGTTGGTACAGTGTTGTGTTTCATATGTAGTGTTGGTACAGTGTTGTGTTTCATATGTAGTGTTGGTACAGTGTTGTGTTTCATATGTAGTGTTGGTACAGTGTTGTGTTTCATATGTAGTGTTGGTACAGTGTTGTGTTTCATATGTAGTGTTGGTACAGTGTTGTGTTCCATGATATGTAGTGTTGGTACAGTGTTGTGTTCCATGATATGTAGTGTTGGTACAGTGTTGTGTTTCATATGTAGTGTTGGTAGTGTTGTGTTTCATATGTAGTGTTGGTACAGTGTTGTGTTCCATATGTAGTGTTGGTACAGTGTTGTGTTCCATATGTAGTGTTGGTACAGTGTTGTGTTCCATATGTAGTGTTGGTACAGTGTTGTGTTCCATATGTAGTGTTGGTACAGTGTTGTGTTCCATATGTAGTGTTGGTACAGTGTTGCTGATGTTACCTGGAGTTTACCTGGAGAGAGTTCCGGGGGTCAACGCCCCCGCGGCCCGATCTGTGACCAGGCCTCCATGATATGTAGTGTTGGTACAGTGTTGTGTTCCATATGTAGTATTGGTACAGTGTTGTGTTCCATGATATGTAGTGTTGGTACAGTGTTGTGTTTCATGATATGTAGTGTTGGTACAGTGTTGTGTTCCATGTGTAGTGTTGGTACAGTGTTGTGTTCCATGATATGTAGTGTTGGTACAGTGTTGTGTTCCATATGTAGTAGTTGGTACAGTGTTGTGTTCCATGATATGTAGTGTTGGTACAGTGTTGTGTTCCATGATATGTAGTGTTGGTACAGTGTTGTGTTCCATGATATGTAGTGTTGGTACAGTGTTGTGTTCCATGATGTAGTGTTGGTACAGTGTTGTGTTCCATGATATGTAGTGTTGGTACAGTGTTGTGTTCCATGATATGTAGTGTTCGTACAGTGTTGTGTTCCATGATATGTATTGTTGGTACAGTGTTGTGTTCCATGATATGTAGTGTTGGTACAGTGTTGTGTTCCATGATATGTATTGTTGGTACAGTGTTGTGTTCCATGATATGTATTGTTGGTACAGTGTTGTGTTCCATATGTATTGTTGGTACAGTGTTGTGTTCCATGATATGTAGTGTTGGTACAGTGTTGTGTTCCATGATATGTAGTGGTGGTACAGTGTTGTGTTCCATGATATGTAGTGTTGGTACAGTGTTGTGTTTCATATGTAGTGTTGGTACAGTGTTGTGTTTCATATGTAGTGTTGGTACAGTGTTGTGTTCCATGATATGTAGTGGTGGTACAGTGCTGTGTTCCATATGTATTGTTGGTACAGTGTTGTGTTCCATGATATGTATTGTTGGTACAGTGTTGTGTTCCATGATATGTAGTGTTGGTACAGTGTTGTGTTCTATATGTATTGTTGGTACAGTGTTGTGTTCCATGATATGTATTGTTGGTACAGTGTTGTGTTCCATGATATGTATTGTTGGCACAGTGTTGTGTTCCATGATATGTAGTGTTGGTACAGTGTTGTGTTCTATATGTATTGTTGGTACAGTGTTGTGTTCCATGATATGTATTGTTGGTACAGTGTTGTGTTCCATGATATGTAGTGGTGGTACAGTGTTGTGTTCCATGATATGTAGTGGTGGTACAGTGTTGTGTTCCATGATATGTAGTGGTGGTACAGTGTTGTGTTCCATGATATGTATTGTTGGTACAGTGTTGTGTTCCATGATATGTATTGTTGGTACAGTGTTGTGTTCCATGATATGTAGTGTTGGTACAGTGTTGTGTTCCATGATATGTATTGTTGGTACAGTGTTGTGTTCTACATGTATTGTTGGTACAGTGTTGTGTTCCATGATATGTAGTGGTGGTACAGTGTTGTGTTCCATATGTAATGTTGGTACAGTGTTGTGTTCCATGATATGTAATGTTGGTACAGTGTTGTGTTCCATGATATGTAGTGGTGGTACAGTGTTGTGTTCTATATGTATTGTTGGTACAGTGTTGTGTTCCATGATATGTAATGTTCGTACAGTGTTGTGTTCCATATGTAGTGTTGGTACAGTGTTGTGTTCCATGACATGTAGTGTTGGTACAGTGTTGTGTTCTATATGTATTGTTGGTACAGTGTTGTGTTCCATGATATGTAGTGGTGGTACAGTGTTGTGTTCCATGATATGTAATGTTGGTACAGTGTTGTGTTCCATGATATGTAGTGTTGGTACAGTGTTGTGTTCCATGATATGTAGTGGTGGTACAGTGTTGTGTTCTATATGTATTGTTGGTACAGTGTTGTGTTCCATGATATGTAGTGGTGGTACAGTGTTGTGTTCTATATGTATTGTTGGTACAGTGTTGTGTTCCATGATATGTAATGTTCGTACAGTGTTGTGTTCCATATGTAGTGTTGGTACAGTGTTGTGTTCCATGACATGTAGTGTTGGTACAGTGTTGTGTTCTATATGTATTGTTGGTACAGTGTTGTGTTCCATGATATGTAGTGGTGGTACAGTGTTGTGTTCCATGATATGTAATGTTGGTACAGTGTTGTGTTCCATGATATGTAGTGGTGGTACAGTGTTGTGTTCCATGATATGTATGTGTACAGTGTTGTGTTCCATGATATGTAATGTTGGTACAGTGTTGTGTTCCATGATATGTAGTGGTGGTACAGTGTTGTGTTCTATATGTATTGTTGGTACAGTGTTGTGTTCCATGATATGTAATGTTCGTACAGTGTTGTGTTCCATATGTAGTGTTGGTACAGTGTTGTGTTCCATGACATGTAGTGTTGGTACAGCGTTATGTTCCGTGATATGTAGTGGTGGTACAATGTTGTTCTCTGATACTCGCCACCACCTTCAGCTTTGTTTCACTTAAAGCTACGACATCCAACTTCATTTCATTCATAACATCAACAATCATCTACACTACATCCTCGCACATTCAACCATCCCAGTTTTGTCAAGTTTTTCTACTCTTCTTTAGTATTTTCTACAAGAAAATGGGTTACTAGCCCATTGCTCCCGGCATTTTAGTCGCCTCTTACGACATTAATGGCTTATGTAGTAAAGATTCTTTTCCATTTAACAATTATCTCTCTTCTCTCTCTCTCTCTCTCACACACACACACACACATTATATATTATATATATATATATATATTATATTATATATATATATATATATATATATATATATATATATATTACGTGTATATAATGGTGTTAATGTGTATTGTTTGAGGTGCGCTTGTCATGTTATCTTGTCCTGTCATCGTGTCTCACGTTCAACTAACCTCTTTCACACAATCCTTGAAATTAATTCAACTCCTGACTTGTCTGGTGCTTAGTCAGTGACTAGAGCCACGGCACTGGTGGTGTGGCTTACTGGAGGAGGAGGAGGGGGATGAGGCTGAGAGAGAGAGAGAGAGAGGGAGAGAGAGAGAGAGAGAGAGAGAGAGAGAGAGAGAGAGGAGAGA